TCCCTGAGGGAGCCATCCCGAGGGAGCCATCCCTGAGGGAACCATCCCAAGGGAACCATCCCAAGGGAACCATCTCCGAGGGAGCCATCCCCTAAATCCAGGCAGGAATGCCCAGCAGCCCCAGGAGCAGCCTTGCCCTGCACACAGGGATAATTCGCCACCATGAGTGGGGTAAGTTGACCCTTAATATCTTAATTACAGCTTGTTGGAAGAGCTGATAGGTTATTCACTCTGCTCCTTAGCACAGCTTTCCCATCTCTCCCTTGCACTGCCACCTAGACTTTAATGTATATCCCATTCATCAGGAGGGAAGGGGATTTTGCAATGGAGCATCTGGATTTGGCCCTCTCTGCGGCAGTTTTGGGGTCACTGCGTTGTGGAATTCCTCTTTGCCAGATCTCCGGGGCATAGGGGAGGGAAGCAATTTAATTTATGTTAGTTATATCCTAATGCTTTAAAATATTTCTGGGTGTCCAAGCTGTTGAATTAGTATTTCAAATCCCACAAGCATTATAGACTTCATGTACATCATCATAATTACATGAAGAAATCCCATACTACCCAGAGGTCTTTTTTTAATGGTTGATTGCTCCTAAATTACATTGCATCAACACAGACATTGACTAGAAGAAACCCAGAAAGATATCATAAAACAATTTTCACACCTTTACAATTTAGTTTGAATTAAAAAGACAAAAAGTTCTCACTGAAACATCCCAGGAAGCTTTAAAATCTATGAGGGTCTGGGTTAGAGTATTTTTGTCCTACCTTCATTAGTGATTTATCTTGCCTTCTAAGATCCACCAAGTGCAGGTTACCAATGATCGGAAGAGGAGTTGGACCAGGAGGTAATTTAAAAGCTGAATTTTTATAGCCAGTTGAAAAATAGGCTACAGCTAATAATACTGCTGTGCACAGCAGACAAACTAATGCAGGATCAGAGAGAAATGAAATTAAAAAAGACATTTTTTTTAGTAATAATCTGGCTTTGGGGTTAGAAGCAATAAAAATGCAGTGGCACTGTTCAGTTTCTGCCAGCTGGCTCTCTGTTTGCTCTCTGCAATTGCTACAAGCACTCAATTCTTATTAAGGTTTGTAGAGTACCTAAATAAATACTGCATACTCCACCCTCTTTAAACACCTCAGAGAATGTGGTCTAAGCAGTTTGCAAAGCCTGTCCAGAAGTAAAGAGAGTTTCAAATTACAAACCCATGCATGTGTGTGCAAGAACATATACATGGGAAAAGGTGCTTGGCATTCCTCTATAACCTGCTCCTCCCTAAGACCTCAAGGTCCTTCATTAGCAGTACTATGACCCTCCAAGCACTCTGCTGACACAGGGAAATAAAAAGGCTCTTGGAATCCTATTAGAACCTTCAGATTCAGGCTTAAGTAGGATTTCAGATCTCCATGTTACTAGAAAAAAAAAAATTAGTATTTTAACAGAAGACTTTGGCTTTCTTGATGTCAAGTGGAGATCAAAGGTTGTTAATAATGGTAAAGCCCAACTATCCCTGGGGGGTTGTAGCCCATAAACTTCTTCATAAAGTCAGCTCTGAACTGCCCGGGAGGGATGTGATTTCAGACTTTGTGTCTGAGGTAGGAGACATGTAATAGCTAGCCACAGAAAATTAGCTTGGATCAAGTGATCATGAGTGGATTCATGAGTGCAATGGAAAGACAAAATTAGATTTGAAACTTCTGGGAGGACTTCAGTTTGTAAAAGCAGCTTCTAAAGGATAGAGGGAAGAAGTTAACGAAGTTAATGAAGCCAGCTGACCTGGCAGGCTCCAGAAGGGAAACAAGACAGGAGAATGGAATGATTTTAAGTCAAAGATACTAAACACCTGGTGCTTGCATCCCTTATCAAGGCATAAGCCTTTTAGAAAACATTTGAGGTTACCTGGTTGAATAGTGGTTTTGAGGAGGAAGTTTGGCATACCCAGCCAAAAGAATATGATCATTCAGGGAAGAAAGGGCTGTCTTACATGATGAGGAAGCACAAGGCTAAAGGTAAATTTGTCCAAAGGTTAGATCGTATAAAGGCCATTATTCAGCAAATATGGGCCCTCAGTCTTGTAAATGCAAAGAAGGCAAGGAAGGAGGTGGGTGTGATCCAGAGGGGGGCTTGGGCAGCAGGGTCCCAGAGCGAGCGGCTGCTGGGCACTCACCGGAGCTGCCTGTGTGGTGTGGAGATGTTGCAGCACAGCAGCCACCCAGAAGCAGGAGCAGCAAGTGTGTCGCAACATTTCTGAGATTTATTTTTTTATTAGTTTCCAAGAAACGGGCTGGAGGCAACGGTTTCCCCCAGAGCGTGCCTAGGATGACTCAGCCCTGCCTGCTCCATGAGCTGAGGCAGAGGGGCTGGAAGGCAGGAAGGAACACGGCTGGCACAGGGTGCAGAACGTGGGCACTGCGATGAGAACTTGCAATGGCACATGCTCTGTGCCTGGGCAAAATGTTTGTTCCTGCAGGGTTTTCTTGGACCAGCAGCACCCTGTAGGGCAAAAGTTACGTGTTGCTGCTGCTCTCCTGGTATTTCACTTGCCCTGGGAGCCTCTGAACTCATAAAAAGGCCTTTCAGAAAGAGACTTAAATTATCTCTGAAAAGCCAGGGGGAGTGTATTGTGGTTTTTTTTTCAAGCCAGGCTCTGAGTGCAATGCATTAAAATGACAAAGGTAAGTAAAAGTCTTGCGATGACAAGAAATTCCTGTCTCACTGAGGTGTCTGGTACGTGTTTTGTGTTTTGCTCCGGAGCGGTGCTGCTACGTGCTGCCCTGCCTGAGCACACAGAGCTGAGCACAAAACACCTGCCAGGCACTGACACTGCTCTGGGTGCATTCCTGGGGCAGCCAGGCCCCAAGGTGCTCGTGGTCTGGTTGTCCTCCATCCCTCATGCCCCTGTGGCGTTCTGCCACCGCTTGTCACTGGTGGTACTGGTGAGGACGTGGAAGGTTGGGTATCGGCCACCTAAAGGCCACCACACCACTGCCAGTCAGCCAGCCTGGGCCACTAAACACCAGCCCTTTAAATTAAATGCCCCAAATCTCTGCACTTCCCCTGCCAGCATCATTCTTGACCAGCAGTGCATCCCAGACTGCAGCCTTGGATAACTCCTGCTGGTTTTTACTGTGATGGGTTCCTTGTAAGCAAGGGCAAGAGACACAGGAACCACTGAAAGGGGCTACACAGAGAGCCTTGTGGAGCCACGTCCTGCCTCACACAGCAGCTGTGATTTTCTGGAGTTAGAAATCCAGCTGTTTCCTTTGGGGTGGTTGTGGCTGTCAGTATTGTCACTCTTTGTGCTGCTGAACATGTCTTGGCTGCAGGCTGCCCACAGATCCCTGTGCTCACCTTTCTCATGAGGAGGTATTGAAGGTGGTGCAGCCCAGCTTTATCAGTTTGACCTGAAATCAACTGCATACTGTCACACCAGATAGATCAACAGCAACAGAACAAAATATTTAATGATGAAGTAGGTGATAAGGTCAGGCTTGCAGTAGTTAGACTGCAAATAGAGCAACAGCAAAACAAACTCAAGCAGGCCCAGCAGCAGAGGATTCCTTGTCGGCAGAGCTTGCTAAGCACTCCCTGAGCTGAGCCCAGGAGCTGGAGCTGAGCCTGTGCTACAGCCCCTGACCAAGTGCAGCACCAGCACAAGTAAAAAGTGCAGAATCACTGTGAGAGTGCTGTTTTAGTTGTGTGAACTAAAGCTAGTGAGGAGAGTCAGGGTCTTCACCAGAGGCTGCCATACCTTTTCATCTCTTCGTATTCTTTCTCCTTTCTTTCCTTCCATTTCCACACAGCTCAGCTTTAAGTGACAGTAACTTTAGTTTTCTGTTGTAGGGTTTACCATAACTGCTCCATTTTCAGTTGAATGGACAATACTGTCCCTATTCATCACAACACACCTGGTAAGTTTGGAATTAGGAGCCTGTGGATGATGGTTCACAATGCATTTAGTGCAGAAAGTGAGAAATGACAACCTTGTGGCAGCTGATTCATCCCCTGAAGGATCCTTTCACTCTGTGAAGGGTAGAGAAGATCTACAGAGCAAGTACAGCCCCTGAGGTGGAAGTGGAGCAGGGGGCTGAGCCTCTCCCAGCTCTCTGCTGGAGTGTGGCAGTCCCTGCCCAGCCCCAGCCCCACTGCCCTCACACTGCCGCAGGCTTGTATCGCTTCAGCCACACGTTCAGAAACTCTTCCCGTGCCATGGCTGCTCATTTTCTGCCAGGTTAGGGATCTAAGATGGCTCAATAAGGGATTGGACAAGTGCCAGAGCCAGCATGAAGCCAGGAGAGGTGAGGGAGTGGTAGAAATGCCTTTCTTAGCAGAAGCGGAAAGCTGCTCAATTGGCCCCATCATAAATGGGCTGTTCAGCATGAAGTGCCTGGTGTGAGTTGGAAAGAACCCATTTCCCAAAGCACTTAGATGTTTTCTGATAACTGCCCCGTGCCTGGGTCTTGGCATCAGCCCGTGCTACACCCTTGTGTCTGGGACTCTGTAATAAAGATAAGGCAGGCTGTATCGCACAATGGAAGCTCAGTCTGAGGCTGAGCTGAACAACCATCCTGAGGAGATTTCCAGATCCTTTGAGTGTCTCTTGTCTCCAGCTGGGCCACTTATAATGAGCTGTGCTATAGGGCTTGGACTTTGGGCTGAGAAATTCCCCACACACTACCAGGGAAGAGCTCTGATGGCTTACATCTACAGAGGAAGTCTAAAGGCATTTCACTTTTTCAAACTGGCCTGAAAACAGCATCTCTGATGTGCTGTTCCAGGAATGAATCACATTTTCTGAGAGCAGAACTCAGAGTTCTCTGAAGGGTTTGCATTATACAGACATTGCAAGAGCTGTTGGAGAGGATGTGATGAATGAGAGAAAATAACAGTGCCTGGTGTCTTCCTTCCCCTAAAGCTCAGGGACAGCTTTTCCCCAGTGTAGCTAGATTTGCTTTAAAGCTTGAAGTGTTCACTACTCTAATGCTGTGCTGTTTGATCATTCACAGGGCACAGCACAAACCAGGTGAGGCATGGGAGTCAAGGTAAAGCCAACATCAGCAGTGAGATCCAGGTCTGACTTCTCCACTCCTGGAGGAGGCTGGAAAACAAATTTGCGGAGCAAGCCCGAAAAAAAGAGGAACAGCTCCATTTTGGCCAGTCCTTCACCAAGGCAAGCCCTTCTCCCTGAAAACAACCAAGGGAGAAGTTAATGGTCAGCACTGTAACTGTTAGTGTTGATGTCTGAGACCTTCTAAACAGGAGGTACAGTCTGGAAGAGCAGGCTGCTGAGGTAGGAAATTTTCCCTTCCTTCTCTTTGTATATTTGAGGTGCTACTGATTTGGTCTCAAACTACACAGAAATCGGTAGATATATGAACTCACAGTGGCTGTGAGTAAATCCCTGTCTCCCATCTCTCCCAAAGAAGAGGTGGTTACCTACAGCAGTAATGGACAGGAGAAATGACCAGAAATTCTTTACCCTCTGTTCTGTGTCCCCTGGCTTTCACACTTGATTTCATCCTGAAATCAGGGGGAACTGCCATTAGCTTCACACCCACAGCCCTCTTACCTATGGAGAATGGAATAAATGCTTCTCTCCTAATGAAGTTCCCATTGGCATCAAGGAAATGGGAAGGGTTGAACTGATCCGGGGTTTTCCAGTGCAACTCGTCATTCAGAGCAGAGGTCAGCAGTGGAATAATCTCAGTACCCTGAAAGGGGTCAAAGAAACTCATGGAAGAGGAGATCACTCCCTCACTTGAACCAAACTGCGTTATTTTTCCAATGTGAAGAACCAAATAAAACATGACAGATAGAACTGGGGAATGTTTCTCTGTCCTATTGTGGCTCTGTCTGTTTTCAGTAACTTCTGTTTTATTTTTTGGACCACAAAACATTCCTTTCTTACAGAGTCAGATCTTTCAACAAAGGTGCTGGGGTAGAGGTTCCACATTTGACATAAAAGATTAAAACCAGTGTGATTTAATTAAATCTCTGGTTAATAATGATTCAAACAACTGTACCAGACCACAATCCATTGTATGTTTATAGTAATTATCCTGGATCTAAGATGAAGGGTCACAGCACTGATTAAACCATGCATCACCATGTCTTTAGTTATTTATGTATTTCTTCTGCTTTTAAGAAAGCTGTGAGGAATCTGTGCAGCACAAGCTGCCAGCCTCAGAGCTCACCTTAGGAATCACGTAGCCTCGGAAATTCACATCACTGGGAGTCGATCGTGATACGCCCATGGGGACAATATTGGCAAACCTTTGTATTTCATGTATTACTGCTTCTGTGTAAGGCATTTTTTTCCTGTCCTCCAACTTAGGCAGCTCTCCTGGTTCAATGACATGGTTCATTTCTTCCTGAATCTTTCCTTGGAGGGAGGAAAGGATTAAGAAGCTGATAACAATCTCATCTTGCGACTGAAATGGCTACCAGTTCGGCAGAGATGAAGAAAAGGGAAAACTGTAAATATCTGGAAAGGGCAGAAGTGGGTAAGTCAGGGCATGGTGTGGTTCCTCCAGGTTTGTTGTTGAGCTAGGGCAGCTTGAATGGAGTCACTACAGTCCATCTCATGCCTGACTCTCATTACACACCTTTGTTGCCCCATAACCTTCAACAGAAACCAGATCAGAATCAGTTCCTGAGGAGACCTTTAGTGACGTAAGTCCATAGCCTGCAGGTGAATAACCAGGAGGGAGCTTTCCTGTGTCTGTAGGCTGCCCCTGAGCCTCTCCCACTTGGCTGGCCTGGTTTATTGCAACCCAGCTGAATAAAATTCCTTTGTAAAGTCAATGCCTGTTATCTCTCTCAGAGCACTCAGAATAATTACTCTAGGCAACACTGAATGAGTTGAACTCCCTTCCACAACCAAAGCCTTAAGCATGCAACAATAAATTGTACAAGAGACTTGTCCTCCTTACTCTGAATTTCTGGGTATTTCATCATCAGAAGCAGCCCCCAGCGAACAGTTGTGGATGTAGTCTCAGTCCCAGCAGCAAAGAGGTCCAGGGTTGAAAACATCAGGTTTCCATTGCTGAATGCAGTGTGTGGTTTCTTTGACTCCTTCAAAACATGGGAGTAATACAGCAAGTGATACCCATATATGACTGTGTTGCCACCATTTTTATCTGCATTTTAGCCTTCTGTGACTTTATATGTGACTAAAACTGAATATTTAGTCTTTCGGCATTAGGGTCTATGCTGTGTGGAATTTTTCTGCTCTCAAGCATATGTGTAATTCCCAAGTCTAGGTATTAGAAATAATTCCAATAAATTGGAATTTATTTACTGCAACACAGTTTATCACTGTACCATTCTTGCAGGAAGGTTTGGGATGATCTCCTCTTTATGTGTACTGAGTGAGAACTTATTTCCCCCTCGTGGGATGTCTCAACAACTAAATCCCTTTAACCAGCAGTTCCAGTGGGGCCATGAGCAACTCCAGCAGAGCTCAATGTGTGAGCTTTGATAAATTCTGCTCACTGCAGTTCTTCTGCTTCCACTCATTGCCAGACCCTGACAGATGGCCAGTCCTAAGGGCTGGCTAAGTAAGAGCTAAGGGAAGGAAACAGAAAGACACTGGGACTTAGTTTTAAAGTACCTGTTTTTGCTTTACCAGAAAGGCATCGACAAAGCCTGTTAAGTCATTTTCATTAAGCTCCTCTTTGTGTTCCTGGAAGAGCTTCTGGAGAAAAGCATTCAATTCAAGGATATTTTGTAGCACAGTCTTGGAAGCTCCAGACAGAAATCCAAGGGATGGGTAGAAGTTATATAACTGTAGAGCAAGAGAAGTTTTACTGTTAATTGGTATTTTGGAACATATACTGGTATCTCAAATCACACTGCTGGTCCCTTGTCCTATGCCCTGACATTTGAGGCTGTAATTCTCCTCCTTCTACAGTCTAAGGAGCTCTGAATTCCTGCAGAAATAGAATGTTCTTTCTCTAATCCAAAGAGGCAGGTTTGGGACTGTGCTTCTGCTCTTCAAAGAGGGTAAAGTTGTTCCTTTTGTGAAGGCCTTGGTTTTTTTTTTCTTTTACTAATAAGTTTCACAGAGTAAGTGCAGGAGCCTGGGAATCTGTGCATTGCAGATACAGAAACACAAATGTGTTCTGTACAGGCTGACTGACTGACAATGTTCTTGTTCTCAAGAAGAAATATGTGGGAGGCCAGGAGAACAAATGCTGGAAACCCCCAAAGACTTAACAGCTAAAATATAAAATTAAGTTCTTACCTGCACCATAGGGGAGCCCAACAACTTAGTATTTTGATTTATCAGCTTCAGCAAAGTTAGAAATACTGGATCATCATATTCAAACCTCTCTCCAAACAATATAGAGCAGATGACATTGGATACAGCATTGTTGAGTATCATTTTTGTATCAAATGGTTTCCCTGTATTTCAAGCAATGAAAAAAAAATGACAAAATGACTTTGCTTGTTTCAGTCTGGTTTCCTATGGAAATGTAGCCCTGAGCTCCCAAAGAAAACTCATTCCCCACCCAGAATTCATAGCAGGGAATTTTGTTTCAGGTTCAATAACCTACTGCACTGTATGCTGAACTTTAACCACGAGATACCATTTGCTCAGAGTTAAACTTTCATTAATCTTTATTGTTCTGCTAGACCTGTTCTCTGCCTCTGGATGAAGGACTTGACACTCACCATGATAGGATTCAAAATATTTGATAAGGGAATTTACTTCCTCCAGGATTCGGATCTCAAGGGTTCTCTTTCCCATTCCAAAATCTCGTAGTGTAGACAAGGTAAATCTTCTCAGAGTTTTCCACACCTCTCCATGGCTGAATGCTATGCCTAAAATAAATGTGTAACATCCTTATGGCACCTGTGGTTCATAAACATTCTTACACACTGGTGCCTCCTTTGATCACAGAAAGTGATCTGGAAGAGGACAGCACTCTCTTCTATGAGAACGTAATGAACAGAGACAAAACTTATCCAAGCAGAAGGTCAATTACCATTTCCTTGTGTCATTTTCCTAAATATGGGTATTTCTGCTCTCTCTCCAAACTCTTCAGCATGATTTAAAAGGGCATCCTTGATGGTTTCATATCCAGCCAGTACCACGACCCTCCTGGGTCCAAAATACACCGTGAAGACGTTGCCATATATCTTGGAGAGCTGTCAGGGTGAATAAATATGTTCATTCAAAGCCAGATCTGGACTCAAACACTAGTACTAGCCACTCTAGGTGGTTTCTAGACCAAAAGGAGCCTCCCAGCCCTGCCTGATGTCTCCAGGTGCTGCTGTAATTCAAGTAGTGAGCAGTAGCTATCGATTGCCAGCATCTCTGCTTGCACCCTGTTTGCACAACAAGGTGTCTGCTATCACTGCTCCTATCAGGGGAGTCAATAAAGCCACTGCATTCCTGTGGTGTTCTGCAGTAACAGGCCAGCAATACCACCTTGGGAGGCTGGGCAGAGAATGCTGTAGCAGGCAGGCCTGTTTATTGTAGTGCTGGTGACCTGAGGCAAGCAGACGTGCACACACCTTTGAGGCTGAAGCCACAAACACTGCAAAAACAAAGCCAGACAATAACTCTTTCTTTCAGGACAGCACTTGTCTCTAATTATGGCAAGGTGGGTAGTGTTGCAGTCATTATGGAATTATTTGCTGGCCACCAGAAACTTGAATCTGACTAGGAAGCATATTCTGGTAGATAATGTCACAGGAGTGTTAGGCTTTCATCACAAATTACATATGAATCATCTTTTACCCTGAAAGGTAGCTTTGACAAGCTAATCATTCACTTGGTATTTTAGGCCTCTTTGAACACACTGCAAGCCATCCACTCCAAATGTCTTCTTGTTTCTGATGTGCCTGGGTTACCATTTTCTATGCATTAGATAGATTCCACAAATTGAATTTCAGATTAGAAGCAGCTCCTGTTATTACACCAGACAAATTGAATTTGTTTTCATCAAGCAGTGGTCTGACGGCCTGGGAGATAACATTAGCACTGGTTCTTTCATCCCTGGCAGCACTCAGAGTGTGGCAGAGCCAGGGGCAGGGAATCACAGCTGCCTCCGAGCCTTCCTTTGGCCATCTCCTCACATTAGTGCTTCTTGGCAGCTGCTCTGCTTTTACTCAGCAGCACAAGTATTGGATGTGGCAGGCCTGAAAGCCCAAATAAAGCTTCTTGGTAGATTATAGGAAATTAGTCTGGTGCTGACACGTGACATTTGTATCATAAAATCCCCCAGTATTGCCAAAAATATTTCATAAATAGTTTCATACTGACACCCTCAAGCCTATCCAGGAGCTGAGGACCAGAAGCCATCAGAACTGATCTCGACACAATCCTCTGCCCATAAATCAAGGCAGATGAGCACTGTGTGCCTGCTGTAGGAATTCTGTGCTTTGGCAATGCAGGATGCCCTTTCTTCTACAGCTAACAGGAGGATTGCAGTGTCTGCACTGCCCTCTCACTGCAGATGTTCAGGTGGCTGAACGAGTTCTCTGGGGACCAGCTTTCCCCCACCATAGTGTCCAGTAAGCAGCACACACACAGGGCATGTGACAGGTCCCTCACAGCATCTCAACTATCTGTACAGCAACCAGATAAAATCTGAATTCCCACTGAATTGTCCTCAGGTCCCTGAGGGAACACAGCAGACACTTTCTGAAACAAACATTGCCCCTGGCTTTTTAATATTTAAGTTTTTTTTTTTTCCTCTCTCGCTTTTAGAAATATAAGTGTCCATGGAGCTGTGTAAGAAAAAGCAATTTGTTTAGCTATACATATAAAATCATGCATCAAGTCCTCAACCACCCTGGGCAGTGTGTGCATGGGGAGGGCTGGGGAGGCAGAGTATTGCAGAGATATAGTTTTGGAAAAAAGTGTGCATAGGACATCCCCTTTCCCTCTGCTGTGGGGATGATACCTTTTCTTGCTTCATCACTTCCATCCACCCACCCTTCCTAAAGGTCTGGTGGCAGTGAGACATCTGATGGCAGAAGCCTGGCCCAACTCAAGTCTTTTACCTGCAGCTTCTGAAGGGCTCAAAACACCAACAATTGGAGTAGATTGCAAGGGGTGGGTGGTCTACATTTAAGTGTGTATAAAGAAAGGAGTGTGTGTATTATATTTATATATAAAAATACAAGAGTGTGTGTGTGCATCTCTGAAGGTAAAGTCATTCTGCCAGCCTGCCTGTGTGCCACATTTCTCATTGCTGCCCTCCACACTAAGCAAACACAACCACATCTCTGTTTTCCCAGCTGCATTTCTCCTTTCAGGAACTGCACATTTTCCCCCTGCCTGCTCGCTCAGCCCTTACCTCTGTCAGTGACTGGAATGGCTTTTTCAGGTCCACCACGTTCAGGTTCCCAATCAGAGGAAGAGGTCGTGGCCCAGGAGGCAAATTGCAAACCGACTTCTTGGAGCTGGAGAGAAAGTAAAGGAGAGCAAACAGCCCTGCTGCCAAACAGAGCAGTGAGCTGGAGCCCACATACTGCAGGAAACTCTGCACAGCCATGCCCAAAGCCAGGTGAGGGTATGAGCATCTTGGGGTCCCTTTATAGCCCTTCTGTCATTTCCTGAACACACCTTCTGGGGAAGTGGCTTTACACAGAGAAAAGGGCTCTGCAGACTTGTTTATGTCCACTCAGACCAGATGTACTCCATTTTCCTGCCAGATGAAACACCCTTTTTTATTCTGAACCATGGATTATTGTAATCCAGAGCTCTTATTTCATCTACAACACTGGGACGAGGTTTTTGTTACGCAGTGAATATCTGTGTTATGGGCATGTTCTCTATGTGATTTCAGGGTCAGAACTCAAGGACAGGGGCCATGCTGGACTGCTGTCACTGTGCCAGGTCCCAGGACTCAGCTGGACCTCTGGTGATGCAATGGAGGAAGCAGGACACAGGAGGGCAAGCCCACAACAATGCATGGCCCAGGCTGCACCTGGCAAGCAAACCCTCAGTGAGGATGAGGCTGGCCACAGAGAAACTGCAATGGTGGTTGCATGCAGATATGATAATTCAGGATTGCTGACAGGAGCAGATCTATTTTCAGGTGACAGCTCTGATTCTTTTTGCTTTCCTGCTGCCCCAGTAAAATCACCTCCTTGAGCAAATCCCTGTTTTGTATTGCTAGCATTGTTATTGTCTTTGTCCCAAAAAAACCCTACCAGCAATCCCAAAACGCCCCTGGCACTGTGTCAGTCACTATTTGGCAGTTTAGGGCCCAGAGAACCACGTGCCTGGATGGCCATGCCTGCTCAGCAACTGGTGATGACTCTGTTTATGAACAGCTGCATGCCATCCTCTAGGAGAAACCATCCCCTGCAGGCAATCCTGCCTAGATTGGGAAAGAGATCCTGAATCCTTGTAACTCGGGAGGAGCCAGATCAGACTCTGCAGCTGGCCAGGCAGAGGATGGAGGAGGGAGGCTGCCGGGGCAGCTGCTGCCAAGGAGGTGCCAGGCAGGAGGAGCACATGGCAGCAGTTCTGGCCCTGCAGGTACTGAGTCACGTCCCAAGCCAGGGCAGGGTCCTGCAAGAGCCCACGTGCCCAGGTGACAGCTCCAAGGCCACCCCCACCCTCTGCATCCTTGGGGGATGACAACAAAGCAGAAATGGTAGAAATGGTGGCTCTGGGGGAAGGAGCTGATTTGATGCTCTATCCCATATTCTCAAGTGTGAATATTTTCCTCCCCAGTTGCAGATTCTGGCAGATTACTGGGCTCTGCTGCTGTTCAACCCTTTAAAAATCTTTAGTTTAATAATTCTTTTGCTAGAATTCTCCAAGGCTCCCAGGTGCAGACTACACTGATGGAAAAATTATGATTATTTATTAATAATAATAAAAGTACATTAGCCAAAGGCAAGGGGAATCAATAAACTCTAACAAAATTGACATGAAAAAGCTGTCTGCATGTCTGCCTGCTCTCCAAGGCTTGTTATCAGGAGTGGAGTTTTTCACAAGGGGGAACTTTCCTGTGCAGAAGAGGACCAGGCAGGGTGGGCAAAGAAAGGAGGGCAATGGATAATGGTCACATCCATCTCAAGATTTGCTGCACAGCTGAGAGGTCTTGGCCTGCACCCTCCTCTCCCAGACATTTCCAAGAATATCCTGTTCTGCCAGATTCTTCTCTGAGCAAATGGTGTGACTACTGGGACTCCTGAGACTTTATAATATGCAGCAAGAGGGAGGGAAAAAGCCCTGCATGGGGCCAGCTGGGTACCAAAGGAGGAAATCTGTTGCTGTTAACATAGAGCTCTATTGGAGTAGAGCAGGCTGCTACTAGAGCAAGAAAAATCACCCACCCTAGGGCTTCAATCTGTGATGACAATATAGGACGAGACCCTTTCTCAAGCAGTGAGCCCATGGACTTGCAGCCTGCTGGACTGTGAGAAATGAGGGATGAGGAATCTTTGCAGTTTTAAAATAGAGCCAATGTGATGTCCTCACCCCCATTTCTTCCTCACATCCCTTGGCTTCCAGGGTGCAATCCTGGACACAGCCTACAGCCACAGGCTTGCAGGTGAGGATCCCACACAGGACTGGGAGAAAACATTGCTCCCAGCTCACATCTTTGTCTTTCTACCAGCTCAAGGCAGAACCACCTTCAGGTGAGCGGATTTTGTGGGCACAGCTCAGGGGGACTCATCAGTTCCTCCTGGACAATGAGCCTGCCCTCAAACACCACAGTAACTCCTGTGTGCTCATCTGGAGAAGGTCACATCACCTTCTAATGGGACACAGCTTAGCAGTGCCACAGTAACTGTAGGATAATGCAGGGAAAGGGTTATTATAAGGCCATAATTCAGTCAATGGCTGCTGATAACATCATAAACCACGAGAGTGAACACCAAGTGCTTGTGTGCCTTGCAAGGCTCTGCCACTGCTTTACAGCCCCTGGAGATGCCTATCAGCCCATGCACTGTTATCAGGGACATATAAAGCCTGAGCACACCCTATTAAACATTAACATTTTTAAAGACCCAGATGTGTTAAAACTCAGGCTGCTCCTTGCTAATGGATTTTGCTTGCCTTGACAAATGCCAGTGGAAAAAGAAATCAAAAGCTTTCTGACTTTGACCTCTTTCAACTTTTCATCATTATTGCATTGTTTTATTGGATTACACCCACTTCTTCCCACCCTGCAAATCTGTATTTCTACAGGATGACTACAGGGTAGTGATCAGTATCTCAAGTGTTCACTTTGCTCATTTTTATACAAATGATTCCTTAATTTCTTTTTCATTTATCTGTCAAATCAGTGTGGGTTGCAAATCTACTCTGGGAAGAAAGACTCCTGAAAAATATTTTTTAAAATCTTTATTTCATGGCAATTAAAAAAAAAATAGATTCCTGGGTTGTTGTTTTGGGGTTTTTTTCCCCATGTTCTGAATGGAAAGATTATATGTGATGAGTCTGGTCACTGGGAGAAGAAAATAAAAAATATGTGCATGAGATTAGTGCATTGTGTCTGTGCAGAGCCTAAGGTGAGCCTAACATTTCACACACATGTTAAGCATTTACCATTCTAGGGAATTTGTTGCTTTTAAAGGACTCCTTCTTGGACTGAATAGATGCCATTCCTCCATGAGCCTCACTCAGTGAGAAAACACATGGGAGATCCTTGGCTTTGTTGCTGGCAATATACTTTTTAATATGCAATCTACACAAATATTTGCAGTAAAATCCCTTGTAACTGTAGCTAGAACCATGATCTTCCAGATCTACATTTACACCAACAAGTCAAGGCAGCCTGACCTGGGAGGTGAGTATTGAGTAGGTTGGGTTATAAAGATATGATTTTCAAAATACATCTGATAAATCAAATCCCTCAACACAGCTCCGAGGATTTTTTGTTCTGGTTCTCTGGCTTCTGTCTCTCTCAACAACATATTGCAGAAATTGTGTTAATCCAAGAGAAATTTGAGGCATATCATGAAGGGTGATTAGTTCTACATAGATCATAGTTCTTAGATCTACAGAAGCAGGGTCCCAGCATCTTCCTTTTTGGCCTCTCTTTTGATGCAGGTGGAGATGTGGATTTAGATGTACCAGAATTGCAATAAGCAATTTAAGATGAAGGTTTGTTTCACCTCTCAGTGCAGCGTTGCTATTTCTCAATGTTCCTCTCTAAACTGATGAGGCTTTGGCTCAGTAATAACAGAAAATGAGCTATCAATCTGTACATCTTTATAGAGCAGATAACATATTAAGGCCCTGACCTTATTGGCATGAAACTACGATTTCCCTGTAAGTGCAAAACAATAATATTTCATTAATCATCCACAACAGAAATCCCCATTCCCCAGACTATTCTGGCAATATTCTGCATTTTTGCTTGTCTAGGAACCTGAATTAAGAGGGAGAAAAATGGTTTACAACAGCCTGTGGCAGTGATGGAGCAAGAGGCCTTATGTAAGAGCTGGCGGCGTGCTCGGCTCCCGAAGGTGAGGCAGAGGAATGAGTGATCCTGGAAGGATGTTTCTCTGAGGTGTGTTCTCTGCCTGGGCTGGGAACAGCAGTCTCAAGGGCACAAATTCCAGCATCTGAATGTGCTTGGTCTTGTTCAGCTCATTAATTTCCTACAGCTATCCCAAGTCAAGCTACAAAATCCCCTAGTGCTTTACTCCGAGCCTTTCATGGCTTGTCAATAAATTATTTTCCAATTAACTACCTGATAATTTGAGTCTGCAGGCTCTTAAAAGAGGCAGCATGGTGAGAGAAGGAAACTAATGGAAGTCACGGACATTTCCCTGCCCATAAAATGAATAAAGGTTCTTCTCTGAAGTATTACTCAATTTGGTGCTTCCAAAATGTACTGGTGAGTGTGTGATAACTCCTTCTGAGGCGATGTTTGTCCAGCTGATGGATAAACACCAGTAGTGGAATAAGTTTTCAGCACTACCTGACAACACTGGAAAAGAACAATTTTAAGTGTTACTTCAGTCCACAATTAATGATGAAAGGTCTGATTCAAGCAAAGGATTTTTATTTCTTTTTCAGTCTATCAAGCTGTGTAACTTGAAAGGGGAAGAGCTAAGATTTTCCTTAGTTTGGGAAGTCTTCTAATTCGAGCATTCTAATTTTTGGCAAGGGCTCAGGACTCCATACTAGAGATACTGTGAAACACTATGAATTATCTGATCTCTCTTGTATAATGGGCATCCTTTTGCTGAAGAAGCTATTTCAGATTTCCCTGATGCAAAGTCTCTTGCTCCTTTGAAAGAAAATATGTGAAAAGCATTTAATACTTTTTTTGTGGCACTGTTCTTTTTGGCTCTGCTTTTGTTGAGTCCTTTTGGAACTGGTTGGTTTAATCCACAAATGAGTTTTTTTTTCCTTCACAATGATTATCTAATGTGGGTTTTATTTGATCTCCTTGGGAAAAACTTATCCTAAGTTGATGAAGCATGTGTACTGAAGATTGTATGAAAACCTGTACCTTTAAAGGAAATTCTAGAAGGTACAACTGGCATTTGCAATAAAAACATTAAGTAATCATAACCAAAAACCTGCTACTATACCTGACCTGAATTTGAGCAACTACAACATTTAAGACTCCAAAGTAAAAACCTGAGTTAATGAATAGTCTAAAAAAAATTATATAATAAAATATACCAAAATGATGTAGCCTTTGCAGAGGATCATAGAATGATTTAGATTGGAAACAACCTTTAAGATCATTGAGCCCAACTGTTCCCCCAGTGCTGCCAAGGCCACCACTAAAATAATTTCCCCAAGTGCCACATATACAAGGCTTTTACATACCTCCAGGGATGGGGTTCCACCAGTGCCCTGGGCAGCCCGTGGCAATGCTTGGGGAAATGAATTTTCCTGACATCCACACTGACACCCAGCTGGGTGTCATCTACAACCTCACTGAGGGTGCACCCAACCCCATCACCCAGATCATCGGTAAAGGTGTTAAACAGAACTGGAAAGAGTTGCTGGTGTCTGCCTGGGACTAATTCCACTGAGGGATCCATGCACATCTTTTTCGTTTGACTTCTTCCTTCATTGCATGGGAAAACAGCGAGTCGGCCACTGTGACAGAAAGGAAGGAATGTAATTTGGGCAGTCTGCTAAAATCAAGGGCCTTGACACGTCAGTTAAATGTGTTCAGATAAACCAAAGTTAGTTCCCTGCTGCTTGGGTGTCTGAAATCTGGGAGACAGTTTGCTGCATGTATTTATGAAAGAGGAGTAGCTCCCTTTTACCATTAAGTGTTATAATGAAGTCAAGTGGAAAAGTGCTATTTACTGTATAATAAAACCCATCTATTGTTCATAGCCCTGAAAACCTAATAATAAAACCTTATATTTCAAGCTGTGCAAACCAGTTGCTTATGTAATAGAACATGGTGTAATTTTCCATTTACAATTTCAATACTGTAATAGGAAAGCAATCAAAGCATAAACAAAAGGCACTTTAAATGGAGCTGCAGTTAATATTTCCATAATGGCTGTCCTTAAAAATTGAAGCTATTTTATTTCTTTTTTTCCTAGCCTTGAATTCTTTCTGCTTAGCTCAGTCATTTAATTAAAAGAAAATCAACTTAAGAAAGATAAAATACTGTCTTAAACCAATTGCAGCTATGGGCAAAGAAGAAAAAATACCAGCGTAATCCACGGTTAACACTTGGTGAGTTAAATTAAAGCTATTTCTCATCCTCCTTTCAGAAGGAGATTGTGAATCTGCAGAGTTTGTGCTGTAAACCTGCGGGCAAAAGGGGTGTTTTTCTTTGTTATACATCTTGAGGATCTGGAAGTTCACCATTTCTCCAGCTTCTGCCAGCATCCCTTGGTTTTACTGCTGTCCCCCACCATTTATGCCACACGATGGGAACCCACGTGCTTCTAGGAGGTACAAAAATAACTCAGAGCTGTTCCTAGGGTTTGTGCACAGCTTAAACCACGAGGATTGATGAGAGATGAGGAACCACATGGTGGCCAGCACGGGTGGCTGATGGTTGAGCAGAATGGGGACAGCCCATCCCAAATCCTGTAGTGTTTCTAAGTTCATCCTGCCTTCCTGGGTCCAGAAAATGGCCTTTTAAGTCGGGACCCAGAGCTCAGCAGTGACAGGTGAGGAATTTATTCTTGGGGCAGAAGGGCAGGAGGGAAAGATCGGACGAGGCTGGATCCTGTGAAGGGATTAGCAGCCAGCAGGCTCCAAGTTTGGCTCTTTCCTCCTCCATTTCCCAATGCACAAATGCCAGGGACAGACTTTTTCCCGGCCCCTCCACAGACAAACAGCCCAGGACCATCACAAGAACGAGCCGCAGCCTCACAGGATCCCAGAACATCCTGAGCTGGGAGGGACCCACAAGGACCCCAAAGTCCTGCACGGGACAACCCAGAAAACACTGGGCGCACTGGGAGGGGAATGAGGACAGCGGCACGGGCTTTGTGAGGAGCAATCGGTTAATTGCCGACGGAGGCTGCCGGAGCCCCGGGCGCAGGGACGGCAGCGGCGCTCCCGCTCCGCGCCGGGCCCAACATGGCGCCGGCGCCGTCTCCATGGCGACGAGCGGCGCGCTCCGGCTGCCATAGCAACGCGCGCTCACGGTCACGTGACCCTGCGCTCCAGGCGCGCGGCTCCCCCTGGCGGCGGGAACGGGCGGAGGGACCGGGAGCGACCGGGAGGGACCGGGAGGGACCGGGAGGAACCGGGAGGAACCGGGAGCGACCCGAGAGTTTCCAGAGAGCGACCCCAGCCCCGGCACCGACATGTCCACCGCCATGAACTTCAGCAGCAAGAGCTTCGCGCCGCGGCCGCCGGACAAGGGCGCGTTCCCGCTGGATCACTTCGGTGCGGTAGCGCGGCCTAGCGCCGGGCCTGTCCCGCCGGGCCTGTCCCGCCGGGCCGGGCGCGGCCTAGCGCGGCCCTCGCGGTGTGTGTGTTCCAGGCGAGTGCAGCGCCTTCAAGGAGCGCTTCATGGAGTGTCTGCGCCGCAGCGGCTACGAGAGCGCGGCCTGCCGGCAGAGCGCCATGGCCTACCTGGAGTGCCGCATGGACAGGCGAGTGCGGGACGGCGGCCGCGCCCCGCGGGCCCCAGGGGGAGCGGGGCCGCGCTCCCGCCGCGCTTTCCGTCCATAAAGCAAACATGCTGCGTGTTAGCATCTCTAACCCCTGCCTTGTGGCTCCCGCTACGCCCGCTGTGAAGCTTTTTTTTGTTCGTTTACAGCCGTGGTTACAACTTAAACTTTTTTTGTAGCCCATCCTTTGCGCACCTTGTGCATGGCTTTCTCAGAAAGAGCTGTGTTCAAGATGCCTACAAGCGTTGTGTATAACTAGCAATGAATTTTCAGAGCCAGTGGTATTTTTCTTGCATACACTAACCCAATTGAGTCTTAATTAATGCTGAGTTCAAGTGGAAATAATTTGGCCTGTTAGCTCCTTAGCAGTATGTTTCAAGCAGGCAAGTTAAAAGCTTTTGTGTGTCAGTTCAAGTGAAGAAAGTGTTGGTGATTGGTTTTCCAGGGATGTTTCCATCCATGCATTGCTTCCTGTACGAGGCTGAGTCGGGGAACTTTGAAAAATTTACAGATTTCCCTGTATCGAGGGAAAGTACACTGCAAATCAAAAATGAGTTTGAAAATCGCTACAGCAAAGCCTAAGGGCACAACAAACGCTGTTCTAAACCAGAGTCTCTTGAAAATGTCAATGGCATTGGTAGAATTTTGGGAAGCTCTTGTGCAATGCAGTAATTAAAGATAACCAGGAGTCAGGTCAGTTTCTGACTAAACTCTTACACAGTATCTAAAATGGGGAAACAACATATTTAATTAGAAAACCACTGTAAAGGAAGAAAAATAATTGCTGAGTGTTGCTTTCCTTCAACTGAATATTCTGAGGTCTTGTCAAACAGCAGTCACTCTGTATAGGTGTCTTGGATCTGTTCAGGGTAAATAATAGTAAATGAAGTAGAAAATGCTGCTGCTCTCTAACCAAGAGAGAGGCTGTGTTCTCTAAAATGTGTTTTGTTGTTTTCTTCTTTTTTACTTAGGCAACTTATGGCTAATGAACCACTGGAAAAATTGGGATTTAAAGACCTGATAAATGAGAAATCAGAAGAAAAACCTGAGAAGTCGTGATGAAGACAGACAACTTTGCTCCTCGTGAAGGGAAAGCATTACTCTGAATGTAGTACATATTGTACATTCTGGTCATATTGCAATAGGAAGTGTTTCCTGAAAGAACCTTTTTCCAAAGGTTAATTGTCCTAAAATAAGATTTTTCTTTAAATGAGCAAAAAGTACTGTCTTTGTCTGCTTTGCTCAAGCATTTCTTAACTTCTTTCTTTTAATTTCTCTAGAGGCAAGACAGTTACAGCCCAAAGTGTTCTCCCTGTAAGAACAGTGAAGTCTTATTTTAAGGGGACAAAAGCCAAAACCAAACAATCCTTTATTGTGTAGGTTTTTAACTACTGATTAATCTTCTGTGGGCAGTACTGATATGCTCACAGCAGTTACTTGCCAGGTGGAAATGAAGCTGTTGTACTTTAAAATTGATTTTTATAAAATACTGGCTTAAGTCCCCATGCCTGGGGTGGTCTCACCCTGCTGTGGAAGACATGGGGGTACTTGAGGTGCAGTGTTTTTTCAGTCATTTCATCTTCCATCATTGTTGGGAGAGTGTTTCTAGTTCCAGACACCAGTCAGGGAGTGATTCTGCTTTTATTTACCATGCCACCAGTGTTCACCTAATTTTTTCATCATTTCACTGGCAATAGTGGTATTTCTTTTGCATGTTCTAATGCAGTTGAAGTATTTCTTAATTAATGTTGAGTTCCAGCAGAAATAATTTGGCCTGTTAGCCCCCTAGAAATGTGTTTCAAGCAGGCAATAAATCTGTAACTCTTGTTGTCCACTGTATGTTCTGCTGCTTTTGTGTTTGTTTTTAACCCAGTGAATCAGTTCTCTGTGTGTCTGGCTCTCTCTGCCAAGGCAGGTCCCCAACGCTTCCCACTTTATCTGCTGTCCCCTCTCTGATGCATCTCACCTCCCCTGCTGGCTGCTTTTGCTTCTGCCTCTCTCCACTGTGCACCTGCTCATACTGAGTTCGGGGAAGGGTGGAAGAACATTTTCTGCTCCTCATACTGATCACTGGGGCTGAGATTGAAATTGTTGCTCTGTCTAATCTGATGGAACAGAGTGCACATAGCTCAGAGCAGTCTCCTGTTTGAAAAGGACATTTGCTTGCTGCTGCATATTTTTATTCCACTTCATTCTACTGTTCAAATTATATTCTTTGGTGAGATTAGTACATTTATAGGAAATATAGAGATTGTATTGCTGCAACAGACACTAGAAGACATTATATTAAACCACTGAATAAGAGCTTTCTTTTAGCGATACCAAATTAGAATTAAAATAATCTCCAGCATCTTCAGAAGAAAGAAATCAAATTTCATGCTTCTGTGCTCCCTGAATATTATAAGGCAAAGTGAATTCCTGGTAGGTCTGAAAGAACCCACCAGTGGTGGGGGAGTAATCTGGGCTGTTACCAATGGTAATTTCATTTTTTTGGCTGTTATTCTGCACTGTTGTTTTGGCCAAGCAATTCCTTCACCAGTTCCATCTGTGTTGCCCTGAGACATTGATGCCAGCCCTGTCCTCCAGGTTGTTACAAAGTTTTTGAGGTGTTGAGTGATTGCCACCCTAAAAAGACTGCAGTGGGGAGAGGTTTGGACCTTTCAGCAGCCCTAAGATCACATCCTCATCCTGTCCAGATCCATGGGCACGCTGAGCTCATCCTGCTTCCCAGCACAGCAAGTCAGCTGCTGTCCCCTCGTGCCAGGACAAAGAGGGCTGTGAGTGGAGAGCTGAAAATTCAGGGGATGGGCAGAGGCACTTCTGTTCTGGCTGTAAGCAGTGGCAGCAGAAAAGAATGTGTTCAGTGGAGCTTTAAGGGAAGCTCAGAGCTGCTGGGGGACATCAGACATTGAGATCTGATGCAGTTGAGAAGTGGGGGGAAAAAGCCATTAGTGCCAGATCTGGGGTCAGTTTTCCCAACTTTGTCAGGGGGACAAGTCCCTGCAACACTGGGAGAGTTCCCAGAATGTTCTTCAATTCATTCCTGCCAATGTACAAATCATGAATTAAACCTTTCTACTTGAAACCTCTTTATTTTAGTATTGCTGGTGGTATCCAGGTTTGTACTCCTTTAAACTGACAGTGGGGTATAAGCCAAATGAAAGCAGTAGGTTCACAGCCAACTTTGCTATGTTCCAGGAGCCTGTCCTGGAGAGGTTCTGATACACTGATTGGGAAAAATCTGTATTCTGGAAACGCTGGGCTGAGCTGTGTGTGCTCCAGGGGAGGCAGTTTGTCAGGGACGCTGATTTCTAGGTGGAGCTGTTTGGAGCTGATGAGCTGCTGTGCTGTGGGAGTGCATCAATCTCCCTGTGAGGAGCCTGCCAGGTGCTGCCCGTGCCAGCGCTGCCTGAAGCTCCACCTGCTGACAGATCCTGCGACCTGGAGACAGGCAAACCATTGGGAATCAGCTGGGATTGACGTGCAGCCTGCCAGCCTGGGTGTAATTGCACAGGTGTGCAAGGGATAGCCCGAAGCAGGAGGAAGTGGTGACTGGTGGAGTGAAGGTCTATGTGAGCTGTTACCATCGCAACAGAAATCAATAAACCAGGGAGGTGCAATTGTCTTTTCTGTAGCTTTTCTGCAGCAAAGCCTCATTCACACCCTAATGAGGCACCCAGCTGCTTGGGATCGGTCCCAGGGAATCCCCGGAGGGCTCTGGATCAGCAGAGCTTTGCCCACACATTCTTTGCTCAGATTAAAATCCACTCAACCACAAAGAGCTTAACCTTGATCACAGCAGTTATTTACAGAGAGAACATTGCTGCAAGTTAACCATCCTTAGTCTTCCTGGGAGACCTCGAGCTCTAGGTGTATCTCTCCAAACAACTACAGTGACCTGCAGAACCAGGAAGAAAGGGTTTAATAAACATTTCCAGAGCTCTGGGTGTGCTTTTACAGAAAAGCCTACACAAAGAGAGCCTCCTGCTCTTGCTCTGGAAATGGGCCATGGTCCAAGGTCCTTTGTAGCAGCACAGTGAGGCTGTGCCTCGGAGCTGAGGAGGGATTGTAGCTGCATCTGCCACCTGCAAGGACATACCTGGCATAGCAGGAGGTCACAGCTGTCAGCACCTGCGGGTGGATGTTTGGGGCTGTGAGCAGTCAGAGCAGCGGGTGTGGCTGCTGACCTTCACGCTTGGTCCTTCCCCAAAGCATTCTCCCAGTTTGTCCTGCTGGCTTCAAGCCCAAGGAGCTCCTTGTGGCTGGTTGTTTCACGTATGCACCAGCTTGGTTTCCTCGGGAGAGCACATTGCTGCTGGTGATTTATGTCCTTAGGGGCAGCAATCACAACAGCTTCTACTTATTGCTGCCTTTGGTTTTGGCTGAACCAGGTGAGGGGCAACGAGTTAAAGCACCTCTTAAATTTCACCTCGTTGTCTCACTCCAAGCAGAGAACTGAGAGGCAGCACAATATTGACAGATCCTCTGGAATGAAACCTGGGTTATAGGAGGCTGTGAGAGAAGGAACAGCCTGCTGCCATATAAAAAATGTCTGGAGCATCACTTGTTGCTGCTCTGAGAAGTGCCTTGGATGTTCTGGCTCCACTGGAGAGCAGTATTTTTCTACATTTCTCATCCATATTTCCTGGGATGGGCATGATGCTTCTGCTATTGTGCAGGACTGCTGTCGTCTGGTAGCATACCTATCCAGAGGACTTAAGTGATTTTGTGCCCGGAGGAGATCCATGCTGGAAGAGATCCTTCTGCTAAATTTGGAATATTGTATATTATATCAGGTTTCCCACAAAAATCAAAGCTCTGACTCACATGAATTTAAAAAAAAAAAAACTGGAAGTGCACATACAAGGGTATATTTTCTTTTCAAGGGCATTTCAATGAAAACTGGACATCTGATTAAACTGATCCTGTTTTAATTTTCTTTTTTTTAATGATCTGCTCTGTAAGTAATTGGCAATGTTGCTTTTTTGTCAGGATGCAGCAGATTTTCTAGCTTACAGATTCCAAGACAAAATGCCTTCCTTCTGGAATGAAGGTGCCATATGGCTTGAAATGCATAATTGATCACTGCTCAAAATAGGAGCTTCATAGAAAGTCACCTAGAAGTCCAATGAGTGTATGCAGGGGACCTGATAGACCTTGATCCATTTTTTGTTTCCTGGAACTGATGATGATACAGGGACAGGTTTTTATGGCTCTCCCTAGAGGTTCTGATGCTTGTGTTCTCTCTCATTATCCAGGAGATTTTGGGATTTGCATTAGCAGGTGCATCAGTCTTATGCTTGCTGACTCCTGCTGGGCTTGGCTGAATGACAAGCTGGCACTCACCATCTAGCCCAGAAAAGGCCACGGTTCTCTGGGAGGTAAAACAGTTCAGCTGACAAGATCTGTGGGCTGAATCCAGCCCTTGGTGTCCCACATTGCAGTGGGGTGCCTGCACAAGCAGCCCTTCCCACACAGAGTGAGGTAGGTTCCCACTGCTGTGGGAGGGATGTTGGGGCCACCTGTCCTACAATGAACTGCACCATAAACCACCTTGTATTGTGGATGCTTTTCTGTCCAGGTCCTTGTGAATTATGGTAAACCCAGATAGGAGCAGTGGTGGAAAAAAAGAGCAGGGGGGTGAAGAAAGCAAGGAGACAGAATGACCCAGGCTTTTCACTTCACCTTGATGGGTTTAAAAAGCAGGTGGTGGGGGTGCTTTTACAGCTCCTTTGGGCAGCTGACTCCTTTGCCTATTTCAGTAACCTTAGAGGAGATGACAGCTGTGGTTTCTGAAGGATTTCTAGTTTTCTTGCTGCTAGCAAGCCCTGCTGAGCAAGAGCCTACTCACACACCCAGTCTGATCCTGCTTGCAGAGCTGCTGAACAAGGGCAGCATGTGGGAAGGCAGCAGCATGGGAGGGGGTGCTCTGCGAGGGAGTCAGGCCCCGTCGTGTCTCTCAATTTGCATTTCTCTGTTATTAAACCATGCTCTGGTTTTCAGCTGGGTTTGGAAGCATCTCTCCTCAGTGGGCAAGGCAGGAGGATGATGGCACTGCTGAATCTGGGGCACCAGGATGGCCCTGAGGGTTTGATGTGATGCTGTGTGCTGCAGCCATCTGCTGCCAATCTACCAGGGCTCTTCTCCTCTGGGCTGCACTGACAGCCCCAGGTAGCAGGGCTGGGTGGATGGAAAGGCATCTCACCACACTGAGGAAGTCAGTTTTTAGGCAGGCAGACCTAGATGGGGAAAAAAATATTCCCGCTGCCACTCAGGATTGCAGAGAAGCTGCACATCAGATCAATGCTGAGAAAATTGCTGGTTAACTCAGGATGCAGAACCAGGCAGGAACAAAACCCCCCCACTGATAAATGGGCCTTCATGGCCCCATGAGCAAGCACCAAGTGGGAAATCCCAGGGGTGTAATGAGGCTGGCTCCTTGCTGGGGGCTGAGGTTGCCTCCCTTGGCTTTTGCTCTTCAGTGCGGGGGTGGGAGTTAAGTTGTGCTGACTTCAACCCCTGGATTAGGCAGGTTGTCTTCAGCCTTGTCCTCACCACCCAGCCCCTCCCCAGCACAGGCTCTGGGTGTGCCTGTTGTTTGGCACATCCCCCGTGTCCATGTGCGTGCTCAGAGTGGTTGCTAAGGCAGCACAAATTTCTCTGTGCTTTCCAATTTCTGTCTGATCCAGAGGTGTAGGTGTACTGCGTCCATGCAGCCTAATCCAGAGCAGGATCTGTGTGGGAGAGCAGGGCAGTGCCACGGATCAGGAGTGAACATTCTGTGTGCACAGACACCACTGGGAGCAGTGCAGGTGGGTGGGCTGTGGGGTTTATTTCATTTCCCCCAACCCCAAACTGCTGCAAAGTCTGGTGGAAAAGAGGGACTGGCCACTGCCAACAATGAGGAGGCAGCATGGAGGGGAACATTCTGGCAGGAGGTGCATCCTGACCTCGTGTGAGGGGAGATGCTCAGGCTGTGCATGGGCAGCACAGAGATGTTACACAACTGGGGCACTGCAGGGCTGTGCTGACAGGAGGTGCAAGTCCTGGTCAAACAGAGATGCTGAGTTCACTGGCTGCTGAAAAAGAACCAGGTAGGTGAAAAATGAGAGCGTGTCTGGAACATCTACTTCCACCCTTTTAAGCAGTCATGGCAGGAGACTTGCAGGTGTGGTGGTGCCAGCTAAGAAGGACTCATTTGAGCACAGAGATGTCTGGATTGATGGCTTTATTTCAGCTTATTTTAGCAAGTAATAGGCAGGGGGGTGATGTTTATCACTGAAACTGGAGCTGGCTGTACTTTAGATCACAGCTCTAATCGGCTGGACTGACTGGGACAGTAAATCACTTCAGCAGCACTAATAACACAGGGTGATGGGTGTAGTAAACCCTCTATAGCAGCAATAACCTGGTCCTGCTGGTTCTTTCACTCAGGTTGGTGCTTCTGCTCTGGTTTGTTTATTAAAGCTCCTTCACAAAAGTCACCTGGGTGACTGCTCCGACTCAGCCATTGAAATGGCTGCTCTCCTGCCATTCCCCAACCTGGCTTGGGCTCTTTTTATACCCTGCTATAAAACTGTTTATTTTTGCACCTGTTTAGAAAGGCTTTTTGGCCACAGGGGTCTCATGATGTTGTTTTCATGGCTTCTGGAGCAGGGCTGCTCTGTTGTTGCTAGAAATAATTACTGTTAATTAATTCTTTGCTGATTTTTCTTTGGCAAAGCATACTGAAATAAACAGATAAATGAGCAGCATGCTCTGTATCTCAACGTTGTGGGAGCTTTTAGGAGGCATACAGTGACATCCAGACGATCCCATCAGCAGCCAGAGGAAGGGTGGGACATGGCCCTCAACTTTGTGTGGACAAAGTTAATTGGGGGGAGGCTGAATTACCATCTCCAGCTGTTTGGCAGCTCTCTTCAGGCTATCATTTTTAATCTCTTTCTAGAGAAAAACCACAGTTTTTTTTCCATCTACTGCTTTATTCAAATCACAGCTGAGCAGTGCTACAGAAGGGGATGTGCTCTCAGCTGCCTGAGCTGGACCAGCAGTCTGTGACACGAGACTGACCACTGGGGCCCATAACTGC